TTCTTTATTCTTTGACTTCTTTTTTGTTTCTTCACAAACATATTCTGACAGTTTAACCACAGTCTTCACACCGATACTTCAGTACACCACTGTGAGCATTTTGTAGTTCTATTTTGCGTGGGCCCCACCTCGCTCTCACACTGTTTGAGTTCTGAGTCCTGCTTTGGACTGTGCATGTCGGCTTGGCCCTCACTCATCAAGCCTCTTGCCCTGACTGTGCTTGCCTTCCTCAATCTGAGAAGCAAAAGATGGATATTTGGACATTTGGGTGCTTAGAGTGTGTGTGTGTGTGTGTGTGTGTTCACAGGCTCGGGTCAGGATGGTCCTGGCCTACCTGTTTACCCAGCTGAGTCTGTGGGCCCGGGGGAAGCCAGGTGGATTGCTGGTGCTGGGCTCAGCCAACGTAGATGAGAGGTATTACCAGAAAATAATTACACTGTGTACACTTTTGGACTGACTGACTGGAGACAGGAGGTTGACAGCCCAAATCTCTGAGTTTGAAGGTTTCTGTTTCTCTTGTATTGTCTTTCATTGAGTCACCAGTGCCTGAAACAACATTCCCCCAGCATCACGGTCCCTTAAGCTTTTTACTGCACTGCTGCTTTCAGTTGAATGCCTGGTAACAAATGTTCATGTTTGGTATAAGGAGGCTATTCAGCAAAGACAATATCTACTCTGTTCACTGGCAAAACCACACTCACAAAACACTGTTAGAGTAGCTGAAGAAGTGCAACTACTGAAAAAAAATGTTTTTTCTTCCTAACATCTTAACTTTGCTCCCATTTAACAACTGTTCCTGTTCAGTTTGACAGGGTATTTCACAAAGTATGACTGCTCCAGTGCTGACATCAACCCAATAGGAGGCATCAGCAAGACAGACCTGAAGAGCTTTCTGCTTTACTGTGCTGAGCAGTTCCAGCTCACCACTCTGAGAGGGTAAGGTCAGCTGACAGACTTTTAGGAAGATTGATCTGTTGAGTAATTAATGTGTTAGTACTGAGAACACAGACACCTCAAATGTAAATGCTCCGTATTTGTATAGCGCCTTTCTAGTCTTTCCGACCACTCAAAGCGCTTCTACACTACATCTGCATTCACCATTCACATTCATGCACTGGCGGAACAGCCAACTTGTCCAAGGACACTTACTGCAGCCTGGAGGAATCAGGGATTGAACTGCTGATTCCTGCTGATTGAACTCCGATTAACGGGCAACCCGCTCTACCACCTGAGCCACAGCCTTCCCTAAAAGGTGGAAGGATTAAAATTACACACTCTCAAACACACACACACACACAAATCAGTCGAATTGATCATATTAATCAGGCTTAGCAGATGCTGTTTGGACAGCAAAGGATGGTCGCACCAAAAACTGATTGGATTTAAAACGTTTGCAAACGGAGCATTTTTTGTGGTTTTGGTTTCCCTCCACAGCATCCTGGCTGCTCCGCCCACAGCTGAACTGGAGCCACTGACAGACGGACAGGTTTCACAAACAGATGAGGTAAGAAATGGAAATATATCTGTAGACCTTTTTAATAGAGTTGTAATTAAAAAAAAGAACCAAGCAATCATATTAGAGCTAGTAAATTACTTAACAGGAATGCAACTGGGGTGGTGATGATGGCCCAATGGATAAGACACTTGACACCTAGTTGCTCCAGAGGCGTGCAACCTCTGATAAATAGCAATTGTAAGTTGCTTTGGATAAAAGCATCAGCTAAATGAATGTAAAAAGAAAAAGCTCAGTTACATGGGATCATAGCCCGGCAATTGCTTTTTTCATCCTCCTTTTCCCATTTTTTTTCAACTTTCTCCAACCACCACCACACGTCCCTACTCAGGCAGACATGGGAATGACCTACTCTGAACTGTCTGTGATTGGACGCCTGAGGAAGATCTCCAAGTGTGGCCCCTTCAGTATGTTCTGTAAACTCATTCACGTGTGGAAGTATGCGCTCTCAGCCACAGAGGTCAGTTCACTCGTTCGCATTTTTCTGCTAGTCCTTGGCTTTGGGACAGTGTATCATCCAGTCAAGGGATAATGTTTTAAATAAATTCAGCCACAGAAAAATGCAGAGCAGACATTTTCAGTGTGGATGCTATAGCTGTGTCATTTCTGAACTGTTCTTGAGAGGAGAGAAGCAGGATTTATGGACATACACTCACTGGCCACTTTATTAGGTATATCTTGCTAGTACTGCGTTGGACCCCCTTTTGCCTTCAGAACTGCCTTAATTCTTCATGGCGTACTTTCAACAAGGTGTTGGAAACCTTCCTCAGAGACTTTGGTCCATATTGACATGACAGCATCACACAGTTCCTGCAGATTTGTCGGCTGCACATCCATGATGAGAATCTCCCGTTCCACCACATCCCAAAGGGGCTCTATTGGATTGAGATCTGGTGACTGTGGAGGCCACTGGAGTAAAGTGAACTCACTGTCATGTTCAAGAAACCAGTTTGAGATGATTTGAGCTTTGTGACATGGTGCTTTATCCTGCTGGAAGGAGCCATCAGCAGATGGTACACTGCGGTCAGAAAGGGATGGACATGGTCAGCAGCAATACTCAGGTAGGCTGTCGCATTTAAACCATGCTCAGTTGGTACCAAGGGGCCCAAAGTGTGCCAAGAAAATATCCCCCACACCATTACACCACCGGCAGCAGCCTGAACCGTTGGTACAAGGCAGGATGGATCCATGCTTTCATGTTGTTTACACCAGATTCTGACCCTACCATCTGAATGTCTCAGCTGAAATCGAGACTCATCAGACCAGGCAACGTTTTTCCAGTCTTCTGTTGTAGCAGTTTCCTGTTCTTAGCTGACAGGAGTGGCCCCCGGTGTGGTGCTGCTGTAGCACTTCTGCTTCAAAGTTAGACCTGTTGTGCGTTCAGAGATGGTATTCTGCAGACCTTGGTTGTAATGAGTGCTTATTTCAGTTACTGTTTCCTTTCTAACGTCCCTGCTACAACTGCCGCTCATCGGGGCGGCTGTGGCTCAGGAGGTAGAGCGGGTTGCCCGTTAATCGGAAGGTCGGCGGTTCAATCCCTGGCTCCCCGTGCGTGTCGAAGTGTCCTTGGGCAAGATACTGAACCCCGAAATGCCCCTGGTGGCTATTCTGCCAGTGTATGAGTGAGTGTGAATGTTAGTTTGAGCACTTAGGCTCAGTGTGTGATTGGTGGATGTAGTGTAAAAGCGCTTTGAGTGGTCGAAAAGACTAGAAAGGCAGTATATAAGTACGGAGCATTTACATCTATTCTGTAGAACCTGGGGATGGTTGTGCGTTTCTGAAATACTCAGACCAGCCTGTCTGGCACCAACAACCATGGCCCGTTCAAAGTCACTTAAATGACCATTCTTCCCATTCTTCCCTTTCTTCTGAGGCACGGTTTGAACTTCAGTAAGTTGTCTTGAGTTGCTGGAGTGCATGGAGAAATTAAATCTCAACATGAATGCTGTTAGTCCTTGTTAGACATGGAGTAGTGGTGTAAAAGAAAGATTATGCTGGCTATCTGAAGTCATAAACACAGGAAGAAAACAATGTAGATCAAACTGGATCACCAGCATTTTTTCCCCTACTTGCCTCCTCAGGGCTTCCATAGATAACCCCTAATAAAACAGTTAATAACAGTTCTGCACTCATGCTTGAGCTGATGTTAAGGTTTCACAGACTGACAGGATGAGCTCCTTAACAGCTCTAAATTCTGACATTCAGATTCAGAGCTTTCAAGGTGTGGCGCTTAAAATGATGATATGATGCGCTTTGTCAAATCTCATAATTTCTCATAATAACTAACAAACTACCTGCTAGCAACTAGTCTGATCATTTATCTTGAGCAAGAACCACAACCCTGTTGATGTGTCTGAACAGCTGAAAGACAGCCCACTATTTTTAGGAACGACTGGTGACATTGACATGCAGAGCAAATTAATCGACAACAACAACCAAGTGTTTCTTTATTGATGTTTAGCCAACCCACAAAATCAATATTAATTAGCTACAGCTTAGTAAATTTGAGAAAAACACTTGTCATTACAAAATTAACAGTTCAGACAGATTACATTTGGGCATAGGGCTGTGCGATATGCACAATGCTGCAAAGCTAACACGAGAGGACGAGACAGCACAGCGGCTCCAGACAGCGACATTCACAGCTCCACATCTCCCGCTGCTACAGCTAACATCACAACAACAGCATGTCTTGTTGAACTATAAAGTAACCTGTATGTCTGTGGGCAAGTTATTTAACGTTACCTGACTGACACACACATCATGGCTGGCACTGCTGGATAGTGTTGTGTGGCTCGTCCATTATATTTAATAAATTTCTTCTCAGCAACACGTGGAAAACTAACTTCACCGTGGTGCATAGCGCCGTCCCTCACCAAAATATTACGGTGACACAAAGAAATAAACGATAGGGCATAATTGTAAACCATAGATATCGTCATATTGCACAGCCGTACTTGGGCATTTTCCACAGTTTGTCAAATTGGTGTCTATCATTGAAAATGTGTCTGTTGAACACTGATATGAATATTGTGCAATTAGCAGCTGCTATCAAAACCTTCAATGAAAAAGACAGTGTATTGTTGTGTTTCTTCAGGTGGCCCAGAAGGTGAAGCGCTTCTTCTGGATGTACTCCGTGAACCGCCACAAGATGACCACAGTGACGCCGTCCTACCACGCGGAGAGCTACAGTCCTGATGACAACCGCTTTGACCTCCGACCTTTCCTCTATAATACACGCTGGACCTGGCAGTTCAGGTGCATCGACAACCAGGTAGCAATCAATGCATAATGCAGTAATTCTGTTTCACTTCATCCTCTTGTTAGTATTGTGAGCTGGACAGAAAAGTAAAGTAAAATTTATTTATACTTTACTATAATAAATACTTCTGTGTCAAATCTATGCTGTAGGTACATCATGTAATATAACTACATGCCGACCTCAAGAACTGTGATTGGTTGCCTTGGTGGCATCATATTTCCTCCTACATATTACCAGCTTGTCCTACTGTAAATACCAGGGTCGTACTGTAAATACCATCTCCTCCGACGCCTTCTCTCGTTTTAGCGTTTTTGTAAGTTCACTAAAAGTATCTGCTGTTCGACATCAATCGGCTCCAACATGATCCGCTCACTTTCAGTCGCTATTGTTTGTAGAGGCCTACACCAACGAAGAAGAAGAAACTCAATGGAGCAGTGGAACATAGAAACCCCACCGCTAACTAGGGCTAGGCGATCTTCTCTGTTTTCATATCGTCTAATCATGGCTACTTGAGATCACAGATAGGCGATCTGATCGCCAGGGGGCGGTGTTACGTTGCAGCATGCCAGTGAAATGCCAGCATGGAAGAAACAGGCTTATTAGCTTTAAGAGAAACCACCAGAAACATTTGTAAATGCACAGTGCAGTGTTACCGTGTAACTCTGGCGCCGCGTAAGGGTGGGTCGTGCAATCGATATTGAAAAGCAGCTACTTATGTACAGCGTACTAACCTCGACAACCCAGCTGTATTCTAATGTTAACATAGCTATACTCATAACTTTTTTAAAGGTGGGTCTCCAACATTGACAGCGTTGTGTTAAAGGAGACCTTTTATGCTTTTCCACATTTTATGACTTATCTATAATGTTATGTTGGATGTTCATGTTAAACTTGGCCAAAGCTTCAAAAAATGGTTAAAGTGGTGGTATTATGCTTTTTGGCTTTTCCCTCTCCTTTATTGAGTTATATATCTTTTTTGTGCATGTAACAGGTTTGCAAAGTGAAAAAGCCCAAAGGGAGTTCCCATCTCCCACAGAAAGCTCTGCTCTGAACCGCTTGAAAACAGCTTGTTTGTAGTCCTGCCCTTCACTTCCTTTACTTGTGACCTCACAATGAAAACGCGTCATGAAGCTTGCCAAGCGGCTAGCGGGGGGTCAGACACGCCCTCAAACCAAGCTAGTCTGAGCCCTTTGGTGCGACTCACCTTTGTTTGGTTTTTCCATTGTAGAAATGTTGTACCTGTACCTGCTTCCAGGTACTTTTTATCGTATCACCTCACCTCCGTCGAGGTTCCAAGCGAGCTTAGGGATACTAAAACGTAACATGAAAACACAACAGACTGCTGATTGGTCAGAGAGAATATTCACTATTCACTGCATCATCATTGCTGCACCAGACAGAGGCCAGCAACAGAAAGTTTTATATTTTACAGTTTTCGTATGGAATTTCATCACTAAATCCACTTCTGAGAAGTTTTGAGGTGAGAAATCAGCTGTGTAGATTTCCAATATTTACTGTTCTACTAGAAGTGATGGCGGAACAAAAATGTGCTTGAATATTTTCGGAGTTGAGGAGCAGCAGTGGGCGGGAGGAGCGTGTGAGGCCGGCCAGCCGCCCGCTCACAGAGCCCTCTGCTCCCGCCGTCACACAGACCGCTGCAGCAACAACTGCAGAGGAAAACACAGCTGGAAGGTTTTCATACCGCTTATCTGTCTTTACATTCTGAGGAACGTAGAAACGTTTTGAAAGCTGTGTGGATCGCTGGTGTGTGTGTGTCGCATTGAACATTACGTCGCGGCAGTTATGTGTGGCGTCACTATTACGACAAGCTACTATCTCTGGGTACTATCTGCAATGGAAAACAGAGCAGGGCCGAGTAGAGTCGAGTCTATCGATTTGCGCTATGGTAGCATTTTTCGGCAAGGCAGCATAGATCGTCAGAACACCGGCAACAGTTCAGCGTTTAGTCCTGATGGTAAGATGTGGAACAATGATGTTGTGTGGTTGTGGACTTGAGAGTAACTTATACCATCTGCTAGGTTACGGTCGCAGTCTGAAGAGGCTTTGATTTGGATCACACTACCTTGTTTCTTACGACCCGCCCTTCTCTGCTTCTGATTGGCTAGTAGTCCTTACCTGGGAATTGCCATGTGCAACTCCCAGCAAAGATTTTGTACAAGATGCATCACTCTGTAGCTCAAGAGCGGAGCGTAAAACAGACAGGGTGAAAAGAGGAGCTGCAGCAATGTGCAGTATAAGGAAAAATATGGTGTTGAAAATTAAACCATGTAAACCTCTTCTGGTTCAACCCCTAATTAAGATTTTGAACCTGAAAATGAGCATAATACCACCTCTTTAAACTATTTATAAGAAATCCCTATGAGCAAAAACCTCAGATTTCCTCCTGTTCTGAACCTCTGTTTTGAACTGCTTTTTCTACCATTGGCTACATAATACCAAGCCAAATGGAGCCGGTGTTCCATATATGGTCATGTGCTCCCACACGAATGGCACAGCGACGCTCAGTCTGCCTGTTCCTCCCAGCAACACCAGCAGCCTGTAACATGCTTCAGGTCTTGGCCAATCAGAAAACAAGGGGCTTTGAGAGGGGGGGCCTTAAAGAGACAGGAGCATCTATAGCTTGTTTCAGACAGAGGCTGAAATGAAGACCTAAATGAAGAATCAGTATAAGAAAAAAATTTGAATCATGCATTTGTTTCTTCTCAGAGTTTACTTGAATGCTTTAGTTTTTCTATAAACACACAGCACACAAGGATGGCCAACATGATCCATCCCAAAACTCTATAACTCTAATAATTGGTAGAGCTAGTAACAAACAATAGTGACTTTTATCGTATAACCTAAATAACATGTTTAAGAAGTTTAATTCTAATTTCCTTTTCCACAGGTGTCTCAGATGGCAGCAAACACCCCGAAGCAATAAGATGCTGAGGTCTTCAGTGTCCAGTGAAAATCCATCAGAACTGCTGAACAGAGCTGAAATATTGTTTGGTGGTTGTGTACACTTTTCAGTAACGTCAATACGTTTGTACTGTTCTTGCAAGCACAGCCAATCATTTTCTGGGACCCTACATAACCTTTGTCCTTCCACCTTCAACATTTGTGACCTCTGATTACATGCCATCATTCCCAGAAGTTGCAAAGAAGCATGGGATCATTTTAAGTATTTCCTCATGTGAAATGCAGTAATGAAGTAATTTGTGGCCAAATATGCTACATATTTAATCACAGTGTAAGAAGCGGCTGTTCCACCACTTTGAACCTTGCACGTGTCGTGATCAATACCAGCTGGAATCAATATATTTGGTAGCTCTTTCTTGAAGCCTCACCTTGAAAAATAAAGCCACTGCTGGGGTTTTCAAAGTTGACGCCTTATTTATCCTGTGTGTGATAGTGATGTATTTAGATATTTTATCTTTAACAAAAAGATCTTCAAACAATACAATGTTTAATATGCTGCAGTACAACCACAGAATTGTATTTCAAATAAATATTGTGCCTGGTATATATATATATATCAGTTTCTACATTTGTTACTGAAACATGAGTGCCTGTCAAAACCATGGTTGTATATTTACCACAGATTTTCAATCATATATATATATATATATATATATAATAGGATTACACTTGCAGTTTTAATGTTATTATATGTTGAGACGCTGTATGGAAAGGGTTGGGTGAGGTGGGTTGGCTGGAAATAAAGTGATTCCAAAAGATGTATTTAATCAGATTTAGTGTGTTGTTGCTTCACATGGAAAGTTAATGTCAAAATAAAGTATTCTGGGTGAAAGATATATTGAAAGCACCAAACAGTCTAGAGAGAAAGTAAAAAGTGACAGAGCATAATGACTTAGTTACTAACATGTTTCATCCTTGTTATTGCTTTTTCCTTCCTCTTATAAAGAAATCCTCATAGCTTACTAATAAGTCAAATAGATGGCATGAATCCAAATGTTGGCTTACACAGTTTCAGTATGTCATCAATTTTATTTAACATGAGTTGGCTATTTTTATTTTTTATCATCCCAAATATTTATTTTCTTTTTCTGTGAAAATGGGCTTCCAGCACTGCTAGGAGAGCTGGATGACTGGCCTGTCCAGTTCTGGGCCCCTGAAGCGACCCCGCTGTTTAGGCCTACCTAATGGGAGTTGCTTTCAACTTGTTCCTTCTAAAAGGATATTTATTACTACACTATAATTCTTTTCTTCACAGCCTTGCTGTTGCAGCCGCCCACTTTGTTGACTGTAGCATTTAAACTTCCTCTCGCCTGCTGTAGGTGGAGTTGGTGCTGTAGGAGCCATACACTGGGTTTGTTTGGGTTTTTATTAGGTTTCCTCTCTTTTCTTTGCACTGTAGTGTACATGCACGCGCATCGTGACGTCATTGGTTACTATGGGTGTCTGTATTAATGTGTGTGTGCTCACCTGTGGGGAAGCTTGGGTTTTGATCATGGCTGCAGGGTGAGCATGGGGAAAAACTTTCTGTTGACCGTTACCATCGTCGTCAACATTACTAACATCTTTCACTGATGTCTCTGAGGTACCTTTGCACTGCTTACAACATGCATCACTCAAAGTAAGTGATTGGTTTTCTATGTATGTGAAATAGCGTAATAAAGAGACTCAATATGTACGATGGTTCAGCCTGACGCGTCTTCAGTGTAAATCCTCATGTTTCAGCCTGCTGCGGCGTTTTAGTTGTTTTGGTGGGTCTGGTTTGTTTGTTTTAGTGGTATACGCCGCAATATTGTGTCAACAGAAAGTTGTTGTTGCGCTGATTCAAACGTATTGTCGGGACTACACTGGATGTCTGCAATCGCTTTCAATGTTGTAAGCGATAGACGAGCCAGCGCTTTAGGACTCACGTAAGCCCATTCATTCACAAATTGGCTGTTACTATGCTCATTTTGTCAAGCAGTCGTCTTTATCACAAGGTATAAAACATTGAACTTTGTGGACTTTGTGGATTGTCTGTTAAGAACCAATTGTATTCCCTGCTAGGCTCAGCGGTACTTTGGCATAAGGTGATTGTACTGTTTGTTTGTTTTGGGACTTTTTGTAGTGTTTTGGTTCGTGCGTCAAGCGGGTGAAGCATTGCGCTTGGGAGTGCCGCCGTGGTTCTGGTTCTAAGACGGTCAGTCTGGTTCAAGACTATCGGTATTTAGGTACATAAATACCCACCGCTAGTATGCACAGAAGACTAGGGTTGAGTTAGTTTAGCTTCAGTGAATAAGTTAGAGGGAATCAAAGACAACGCATTGTACCTTGTTCACACGGTCATGAAATATGATATATGATATAAGTCATTAGGGCGCTGTTTAGCATGTCATTAGCAGATATTTTTTGTGATTATTGGATTATTTTGTAAACGAAAATGGAGTTGAATGGTTCCAGGTCAATTGAGAAAAGACAAACAAAACTTACACCCAAGGCTTTTGAATATAAATTGGAGCGGTTCCAAGAAGAACGTCAAGTAAAAGTAAGAAAAATTAAAGATGCAATAAGAGAAATTAAAGACCTAATGCAAAGTGCTGGAAATGCTGAAAAAATACGGTCTTGTCTTGAAAGTTTGTCGAGTTTGTTCACAGAAGCAAGTCATCTCCATGGCGTTGTTGTTCCTATGCTTCCACCTGAGGAACAAGAAAAACAAAATGCTTGGTTTTATAGTGTTGAAGAACATAAAACTGCTTTTGTGGAGGAGACTAATAAATGGTTGCTGGAGGCGCCAGAGGCACCAGCAGAGGGCGTTGTTGCACCATGTTTAGGATCTGCTGTTTTCGGTGATAATGAGCCATGCAGAGTCAAAACTGTGGAAAATGCAGAAGATGACGTTAGGCCAAGTGATAGTGTTTCCAATGTGTCATTGAGGTCAAAGAGATTCAGTACAGTAGTGAGTAAACCTCTGTCTACTACATCATCAGCCAGAATAAGAGCTGAGGCTGAGACTGCTGCCCTTATGGCTCGTAAAAAGCATGCCCTGGAGGAACAGCAGGAACTGTTGAGGAGAAAGCAGGAGGTGCTGGAGATGGACATGGAGCTGGCAGCGTCTATGGCTAAAGTGAGTGTGTTCAAGGCTTCAGAAGGATCTTGTGCATCTCATGTTTCTGTGAAATCAGATGGGATGAACTCTTATTTGAAAAGAGGGAAAGTACACAGTTGAGCCATGAAGCTCCAATATTTGTGCCGGAGTTCAACACTCAACCATTGGCTGCAGAGGCGATAGGGGAAGTTTCGCTTCCATGTGATGCTTCTGTGAGGTCCAAGACATATAACAAAAGCCAGTTGCCTGCTGCTGTGACCTCGGCCGGTCAGTCCACTTTGCATAGTCTGCCTGCTGCTGTGACTGGGGTTGATCAGCACACTTTGCCAGAAGGTGTTTCTCATCCATCTATTACTAACTTTCTGTATGGAGCTGCACCTGTAACCGTGAATAATTCTGATCAGCGTTTTCTCACAGTTTTAGAAAGGCAAAATCAAATCACGTCTTTATTGGTTGGACAACAGTCACTTTTTCTCTTACCTAAGCGAGATCTACAAGTTTTTGATGGAGATCCACTGCAGTATCAAACTTTCATAAGAGGATTTGAACACAACATTGAGGCGAGAACGCAAAGTCAGACGGATTGTTTGTATTACCTCGAACAGTATACGAGAGGTCAGCCCAGGGATTTGATCCGAAGTTGTCAACATCTGCCTCCGTCCCATGGTTATAGTAAGGCAAAATCACTACTTCAGGAGCATTTTGGTGATCCATTTAAGGTAGCTTCTGCCTATATGGACACGGTGCTTTCCTGGCCGATGCTTAAGGCCGAAGATGTCAAGGCCTTACGGGCCTACAGTTTATTGTTGCGGGAATGCTGCAACTCTATGGGAGTTTCTGCAAGTGATCTGAACGTACCTACGAATATGCAAATCATTGTGAAAAAACTGCCTTATAAGCTGAGGCATTATTGGAGAAGTGTGGCCTGCGATATTCATGAGAAGTCTCATCGTAGAGCTATGTTCTCAGATATTGTAAAGTTTGTTGAGAGGCAAGTCAAGATGGCGAGTGACCCTCTTTTTGGAAATATACAAGAGACATCTGCGAGTGGAAGAAATGAAGCAAAAATGGTCCGGTCTCAACCTCGTTCAAAGGTTAGAGGCAGTAGTTTCACTACTACTGTAGCACCTGCTGAGAATAAGGTGGAGCCTGGGTTTAAAAGGGAGAAGAACTCACTAGTGAAAGTTTGTTTGTTTTGTGGGGCTGGGCATTCTTTAGATGTTTGTTTTAGTTTGGATAAAAGAACATAAGATGAGAAAATTTCCTTTTTGAAGGAGAACCGTATTTGTTTTGGATGTCTGTGCGTCGGACACATGAGTAAAGACTTCCGAAAACTTATGACATGTAAAGTATGCAATAATAAGCATCCCACGTTGTTGCATATCTACCCCACAGCAAAACCAACGAGTCCGACTCAGGCCAATGGTGGCTTGAATATGGCCAGAGACGGTGCTGTGGTGTCTGTTCAGTCTAGTGGCTTGACTGGGGCCGGTAAGCAGGACTGTACGCTCTCTATCTTGCCTGTTCAAGTGAAATCTAAGAGGGGTCAGGAGACCTTAGTCACATATGCGTTGGAGTACCGCCTTGTTTTGTACAGAGTGACTCATGACTCGGCTCAATCTTACAGGGAAGAAGTTGGGAATTCTCCTTAGGACTATGGGACAAGAGAAAGTGGTAGACAGTTACAAGTTGTCAGACTTGGAAGTCGCCGGGCTGGACTCGAACAACTTCTGTGGCCTGTCTGAGATTTTTACTCAGCAGAACATGCCGGTTCATCGAGGTAACATTCCAAGCTCAAAAGACCTTCAAAGATGGCCGCACCTAAGACACATAAAAATACCAGAGATCAATTCTGATGTGGATCTTCTGATTGGCACTAACGTTCCTCAAGCTCTGGAGCCGTGGGAGGTCGTTCGTGCAGAGAACGGGGGCCCTTATGCGATTAAGACCATCTTGGGTTGGACGGTGAATGGCCCGCTCCATGGAGATTGTCATATCAGCGAACAATGTTTGCAGCCTGACATCACAGTCAATCGGATCTCGGTGGCGAGGCTTGATGAGCTTTGGGAGAAGCAGTTGAAGGTAGATTTCCCTGAAACTCTGCAGGATGAACAACCTGGTCTGTCAGTGGAGAATAAGCGCTTCATTGAGTTGGTCTCAAAGTCTACTAAGCTCATTGACGGTCATTATAGTATTGGTTTGCCGGTGAAGCAAAGACACCTCAAAATGCCAGACAATAAGACAGTGGCACAACAGCGTGCATTGAGTCTTAAAAGACGTTTGAATAAGGATCCATCTTTTCGCTTCGAGTACATCGCAT